GGAACACGGCCCCAGGGACAGCGCGCTGGTCTAGACCGCGGGTCCCGACACGTTGAGATTCGAGGCGCAGTGGGTTTGGCTCCATGCGCTTGGTCCCCCTCCCACTCGCGACCCTCTCTGCGGTTGGCGTGATGGAGGTCTCGAAGCAATCTTCAAATTTTGTTTAGAAAGGAAACATCACTACGTTAGACTATTTTAAGCAAAAAAAGTATTAGTTTTGGATTTTCCCCCCCGCAATGTCATTTGGACACCGACACGGCCGGGAAAGCTGAACTCAGTGACGGCCAAGCTGCATCACAACGGGCTCTGGGAGGGCGGCTCGGCATGGGGTGATGGGCGACCTCCCCCCCCCCCACCCTGGGGGACCCCGTTCTGTGATCGGCTTGGCTGGGCTGGGCTGCCATGGGCGCGTGGCTCGATATAGCCACATCACTGAGCTGGCGCCAAGCCGAGAGCCGTCATTCCCATTGGCCATGGACTTGTTTATTGTTCCATGACCAGTGGAAACCGTGCTGGCAGTATACTGCATACGGTCTGGGCGAGACGCTCCTGTCGCCGTGGCACAGTCGTCCGTGGTGAAAGTGATCCCAATCACTTCCCGATTCTGACCTACAGGCTGCCTTCTATAATGATGCTGCATGATTATATCTGGACCAAATCAGGAACCGGTTGTTACCCCACACGTAGTCGAGGGATATCATTAGTTCAGCTTTCCAGCCATATTTGAGTTAACAAAACGTAAAAATCCAAAAGATCAGATTTCAACTTAAGGATAACCCAACCTAATCAATGCCTTTGGAAAAAAAAAACATTTTCGTAAGGCAGCTTTGCAACCACCAGCCGAAAGCCATGGATGAGGGTGGAGGCGAGGGGGCAGCAGGGGGAGTGGAGTTGTCGAGGGGAGGGGCTGAACCCACCGGCTCACGGGGCGCTGACATGGGGGGAGTGGTACAGGAGGTTAACGGTTTGAAATTATTGGCTGCCCTGGTTAATACGGTGGGTGCATTAAACACAAAATATCCCTCGAGTGAAGACGGAGGCTTGTGTTGCTCCCGAAACGTCGTGATTTAATTTAGTTGTCTTAATTTTAATTTATTTTAGTTTTTTCCTACATGACTTTACCGAAAAAAACAAAAATTATGGATCCTTGCAGTCACAAAAACTTCCAATCTAGAATGCCCCGAGTGCTTCACAGTAGTGGGCATTAAAGATGCCGTGATGGTATTTGGAAATGGGTAGCCCAGGTGTGCCAGCAGCATGGTCCAAATTCAGAAAATGTATTTTTTGCCAAAACAGAAACATCGCACCCATATTGTGAAACTTTTGCAACCATCTAACCCCGACTGGCAGACGAATGTCCGCTTGCTGGCCGGTGCTGCGTTGATCTTGTAAGCATGCATGCTGAACTTCTTTCGCACCGTACGTAGCCAACCATGCTAATCGGAGGTGCGGGGGAAGGACAACAAACGAAACACAAGAAGCTGTTCTAAAGAAGTCAGTTTTCAGCTTGCTGTCTCTGCAGCGAGCTGTCACGGGGCGAGGGGCGGGTCCCCTGCGGCTGGGAGCATGGGAGGTGCGGCATGAATGTTAAGTGGTGATGATGGGTATAAGGATAGGGGTCAGACGGTTGTTCTTGGGCAGTTTTTGGGCCATCAACGGTTGATTCCCATTGGTCACTGGAACAAGCAGGAATACCTTACGTGGACCCCACAGAATGTATGTACCAGGTACACGAAGGCTCTGAGAACGTCGCCTAAACATGCTTCTCGCGTATGGCTTTATACAACAAATCAGAAGTCCACGTGCAGGGCTGATAAGCCAAAGGGAAGCCTTCGGGGGGAGGCGCACTGACACCTTGAATGAATTCCGAGGTTCACAGTGGCTCGCAGTGTGGTCCAGGGTCTGGTCAGGATTTCCAGTCGCATGCCAGGTTTTTTGTCTGATCTTTTCACTTGATTCGGTGGTGGCGAACGCCCTCGACATCGTTCGGCAGATTCACCCCACGCAGGCATCGGCGTCCACAGCTCCCGCGCGCGCACGAGCGCCCGCGAGGCCCCGCGGCGAGATACAATCGACACGTCACTACAAAAACGGTCAAAAACATCATCACGTGTGCACACCGCGTTCCCAACGTATGATATAAAAATACTCGATATTGCTTACAATATAATTAGCACTGCAAGATGTTAGATATATATGTGAAGTGCCGTTACATATCTTATGTACTGCAGATTCGTTTTCTTACAAATGTGTTCGTTTGAGGTTGTACTTTTCCAAATGAGTAAATCACATGGAATGCGCTGGGGCCTCGTCAACTCTTAGAAGCTAAGCGGGGTTGAGCTTGGATAGCAATTGGATGGGCGACCACCACATGTTCAAGGCCGTGCAGCAAAATTACATGACTTTCCTGCTCTCTCTAAGCCCACAGAACTACGATCCTCGCCCTCACAAGCCTAAACCGACCCATGTGACAAACAGCGGTCAAATAACCCCCACGACCTGGACGACATGGGGAGGCCCTCATCCAGCAGTGGACTGACAAAAGTGCTGTAGATGGACACGCTCTAGATGGGACGCGCACCAGCGACGGCCGCGAGCCAGTTGGGCACGTGTTCCCTGCCCTTGCGACCGTGGTGCGGTGAGCGCATCCAGCACACGCTGTGCTGCACGCCGAGGCGCGTGGCGACCGCACGCGCCGCGACATCGCCACGCGCGGCATGGGGCTGCGGCGCCTCCACTGTCCCCGTTGCACACGATTCATTCCCATCGCTTTTCATACAGCTGCCACATTTCAAAAGTTACACAGCAAAATACTCAATTGGGATCGTACAGAGCAATCACGATCCTCCCTTACTGGCAGGCCAGGTGCCGAGTCACCAGGCAGCTGCCACGAGGGGGGGTGGGGGGTGCCCGTTCAAATGTGTTGAGATGAGATGCAGTGTAAAGCGCTCTGAGATGCCTCGGCTGGCATACAGGGAGGGCGGCTCTATCAAAGACAAATGACTACTCGTGTCGTGTATCCCTCTTTGTCAATTTTCTTTTTTACTTACCAGCCACCGAAACGATTAAGACAGCTCACCCGGCACGCGCCCAGGACAAGCGATGGAGACTGGCAAGCGACGAGCATAGGTACACCGCGGGGTACGGTGGTCGCTGGGACGCAAACTCTGTCGCCTTGCTGCGGCGAAAATTGTTCATGGGTGAAACGACTGAAATTCCCAAGTCCCCCCTCATCGTCCCCTCTCCAGACCCCAGTAAAAATACAAACAATTACATGATACTTGCAAAATCCCATCTGCATTATTATTAGTTTTCACTCAAACATTAAAAAAGTGTCCACAGGAAATAAATTACATGTTAATATTACACACGGTTGTAGAGTATTAGGTTAAAATTTGTATGTACATCACGTTTTTTTTCAAGAGCAGTAGAAAAATGCATTCTTTTGGCAAGTGATACAGCTTTAAAGGTCTAACGTAACAGCAACGCTGTCAGCGTTCACCGTTTAAATACAGCCCAAAACTATTCATACAAATCAACGACGGTGTCACACCAACGCATCATTTGAAACCGGCGTTTTACAATTTAACCCATAAAGCAAATATCGTGAGTTCTGAAGGTTTCTTGCCCCAAACAAGTGGAGAATCAAAATATTTTAAATGTGTATATGTTGGACGATTATTGAAATTGAAAAAAAATTCGTTGTTTATAATTCAATGGTGTCATTGCCTACACTCGACTAAGCCAACATTAATAGACAATGACACCAAACATCGTCAAAGCATTCTTAGTCTTAACGTCAGCTGTTAAAACAGCCGTTAAAGTGTCCACGAATTTATGAAATTAGTCACTTTGCCATCTGCGTAGACCTTTAAATCCTCTAACAGGTGGTTGTGGTCACACACACACGCTCACCTTAAACAATATCACATTCAAAATAAAATGGAAAATATGCATGGGTTTTGTTTTGGTAATTTTTTGTTTAACGATGAAATCTGATTATTTTTGTTGTCCTGTGCAAAAATGCGTCGATATACGTTGTACGATGGTTTGATTATTGCGCATTCCACGGTAGCAAGCTTTGCGATCACACGAATAAATAAACATGAAAGGCAAAAGCGTTTCCCACTTTCATTCACCAAAAGCTGCTCATCTGAGCCGCGGTCCCGATCTATAGGAAGTGATCATCGGTTGGATCTGTACGCAGGAGAGCAGCTTCAATGGATTTCAACTCCAATGCATATGCTATGGATGCATTGGAATGCAGACTTAGCAGTGTGGTCCTACTTAGAGTGTGAAAAGTAGGGAAAGAAGACGACACTTGGGTGAATAGAGTTGTGCTGCGAACATCGTTGTCCAATTTTTTTTGAAATTTAGCCCGCGGGAGGGAAAGTGGTGTGTCGATAGGAACTGTACAAAATACAGTCCGGCTGTCTTCCACATCCTGCCTGATATGTTACAAAGTTGATAATCTTCATTAGTCGTCGACCAAAAACGTAAGCGTATAAACATCAGCGGTTACATTCAAAGCCCGAAATACAGAAGAACGTTTTAAAAATATATATACATGCAATTTTCTACCAAGACTTTCTTACAAAAATTATAAGCCAGATTTTTCAAAAACACTGAAGATGCAACTTTGCTCACGACAGCCAGATGCTGAAGTCGTCTCCAGGCTACATTGCTGTGAAGTCGCGAGGGAATATTGTTTGACCGTGCCACAATAGTGCATTCACACACGCAAGGTGCAGCGTCGCATCGTGCCGTCCCTTGACTCTGAGCAGACACGGACACGTGTGGAATTACGACGTCGCTAATCCCACAAGCCACGCCTGTTATGTTGGTAAGTGCCATCGTATATATAATGTATAAAATTAAACTTTTACATAATTTAACAACGCCTCTCTTATTAACCCTTTCACAGCCCACGTGTCACCCTGCAGCCAGACACATTTTAAATGTGCAAACCTGGTCAGTTTGATTTTTGGTATTTTTAAAAAATAATTGTTTATAATAGGGGCATGACCCTGATCCGTGTGCAATGTTTATTCTTAAACATATTCTGCTACTGAGTTGGCAGCTGCAGACGCGTCACCTGTGTGTGTGTGTGACCAGCAAACACAAAGCTACATTCCGTCACGTGCAATATCTTGACCTGCCACGGGAGGGCCTCGGTAGCTCCCCCAGAATCGACAGGCCTGGCCGTGAAAGGCTTAAGAAACAATCTGCATCTGCTAAAACAAAAATAATTAGAAATTATGAAAATGTGAATGAGACACGGAAGTTATTTTTTAAAATAACAATTTATAATATTTGCAAATTGACCAACTGGGACATTTAATATTTGCAAATATTGCAAATAGTCTCTCTGACTGCAGCGGTTTTGCAGTCTTGATACTGATGTGGGTAAGGCTTCAGGGTTCTGGACATTTTGCTGTCCGATTCCGCTTCACCCATCTGTGGTTTAGGATGGGTTCACGGTTGCTGCTGTCTGACGGGCAACTCCGAGCCGTGGTGTTCCCTCTGCCAGCGGCGGTGGCGCAGTTCTCGAGTGCGTAGGAAGTGCAACTGCACAGGACGGCTCACAGGGGTCCTGGTACCAGGCTACGAAAGAAGGAGGGGGGCGTAGATTTACCGGTTTCACTTCACAGGGCGGCGGACACGGCAGAGCGGTAGCGCATTTTCCACTTGAGCCCCACAGGCGCCCTGGTTAATACTGCCCGTGTATACTGCATGCCGTCTGCTTCACAGTGGACATTAAAGATAACGTGACATTCATTAAAAGAGCAGGTCACGTGTGTCGGCATCATGGTCCAATTTTGCCAAATGTAAAATTTACCCATAAATCACAAAGTGTGGAAAACAACTAAATTGCCCCCCCCCCCCCGCCGCGAGGTAGCATACGCCTGCAGACTTTGTGATCCTTGCGCTATAAGAATGGTGCCACAATCCCAACATACTCATGGTTTAATGATTTATTTTCTTTCCTGGCACCAGAGCCCATGCCACTCATGTTGCGCCCACTGCCCAGCAGAGACGCCCACTGCACATCCCAGGCTGTGATCATCGCGTGGCCCCAAGCGTGCCGGTTTGTGCTGCCCGCTGTCTGTGGAAGGCAGCCCGCTCCGCATTTCACTCGGCACCCGTGCCACATGGGGAGACAAATCAAAGTGGGGCCGACACGGAGAGGAAATTGCTCTGCGTTTACGGAGTTGGAACGCGGTCACGTGGCGCGGGGTCGTGAATCGCGGAGCGGAAGCCTCCATTTGACCGTTGCAAGGGAGACGCTTCTCACGGACACCGCGTCCGTCCTGCCGTGCTCTACATCTATGTGGCTTGGTGTGTGCTTTTCAAAATCTTTGGTGCGTCCTGGTGGCACACTCCACCTCTATGCAACTTGCACGAAAAAAGTTAACGACTAACAACACTAAAGTGGGTTAAGTCCAATCAGCAGTTGTCAAAAGCAGCTTGACGATAGTAACGTGGAGTCAATATTGGGTGGCAGCCCTGGACTCGAATCCAGCGGCTCAGTGCTCTGACACGGCCCCACACCTTTGTGAGCAACCCAGAAATGTTTACGTCATATACTCGAATGATATGGCCATTTTGACCGGCTACAAAACGACAATCACGGGGGAAGAAACATCTATTTTAAGCAATCCCTTCCGCTCGTCTTCTTGCATCCATGACCGTGATTCAAGTGAACAGGCTTTCGTGTCAACAAAAACTCCCCCCTGTCCCTTGTGCAGGCATTCACATTGTAGTTGCGCTATGTACACATCTAGACGTGGGCGACGTTTTTTTGTTGCGGCGTGTCAAACGCGACATTTAAAAACGTGTCTCTTGCTTCGCTTCATTTGCCGACGTCGTTTCGCAGCGGCGGTCCAGAAGCCCCCCCCCCCACTCCCGAGTTGACCGGCTTCCGAAGTTGACCACTGGCGGCAGAGTCACGACGAGTCGGCGCTTTCGCTCGTGCCTGGAAGACTCGGGACGGACTGCCAGCGCGACGGATTGGAGCGGTCCGAGCGAGCGCCGTCCGCGTGCCGGAACGACACGGAAGAGCGGCGCGCGGAGCGCGCCGGCGACGCCTCCTGTCGCTCCGCGACCCCCGCGACCCGTACGGGACCGGCGAGCGCTCGGGGGGCGAACATGCGCGGCGTGAGCGGCCAGGGCGGGGAGGTCGCGGCGACGGAGCCTGGGCTCCAGGCACCATCCGCCGGGAGATCCAGGGGGTGCGGCGGGGCCCTAGCGGGGGGCGGCGGAGGGGCAGGGGGAGGGGAGGAGGCGGGGGAGTCGGGGGACGGCGGCCTGGGCCCCGGCGACGTGGGGCTGTAGGCGGGGGGCACCGGAGCCACGCGCCGCTGCAGCAGCTGGATGATGGAGCCGAAGTCGGTGGCGATGCGAGACTCCAGCCTGCAGGGACGAGGAGGAGGCACGCGGCACCGAGTCATGCACGTGCACGGCCCTTGTCGTCAATACAATGTCCACACTTAACCACCCTGGTCAGTGTGGGTTGGGTGAAGTCACGGAGCACGGACGTAGAGGCACAGAAGTAGAGAACAGCTGTGGATTTTGCTACACTGCACCTCGACTGCCCGTCCCGCAGCCACGCGGCAGCCTATGGACAATCGGTTTATGCGTGGTGGGCACCCACCCCTCCAGCGTCCAGGCTGCAGCATGCTTTAACTTCCTAGGCCCGGTGGTGTGGCCACATGCTCGTGCATACACAGGCGAGCACATGCAACAATGCACGCACCGCTACACGTGCGAACATGCACACGTGCAATATACACGTATGTTTACACGCACGCATAAACTCACCCATCCACACATACATACATGGACACATACATTATATACATGTATACACAGAATTATATATAAACACATACACACGTACCCATATCGTGCATGCTAACACACACATGTGCAAGGTGATACATATACCAGCCCCACGTAAGGGGGAGCCAATTGCTACGCCCAGCTTCCGTTACTAATTTCCCACACACACTCTGCCATTTACTTCTGAGCTAAATACAACCCATGCAGGTTGATCATTCATGGACCGCACCTGTTGATGTGCGTCTGCAGGAGCTCGATCCGGTCCTCTATAGGCAGCAGTCCGATCCGTAAATCCGCTCCAGTCTCCGTGTCCAACAGCCCAGTCCGCTTCTCCCCAAGATCCGCTCCGCCGGTCGCCCAGAAGTTGTAAACCTCCGGGACATCTGCGTGCGACCAAGGCCACAGGGTAAGCGAAGCGAGCTAGAATCCATCTGAGAGGCTCTCTGCACCGACTGGCTTGTCCAGTTGTAGCCCAGGAATCAACGGGGTTTGTTGTCCAGAGGACAACCACCGTTGACTTCCAGCGGCATGGTCACCCAAACCCACGCTGACCAGCGCGGCGAAGTATGGCCAAACTACCCCCGCGGCGTGGGGCGGCCTTCGCCAAGCAGTGACTTGACAGCGGGCTGCCAATTATCATTCATCGATGATACAATTTCCGACCGTGTAATGTGACACACTCGTTGACACCGATGCTGAAGGTGACGATGGCGCACCGGCAAGGAGGTTGCAGCGGCTGCCCGAGATGGCCCCGCTGGAGAAGGGGTCCTTGCTGGCGGGCGTCGAGAAGCCGTCTGCGTTGCCGTTGACGGTGCCCGTCTTGGGCGACGGCGACAGCTCCAGGAGCTGCGTGGACGCCCGCGCCACCCTCTGCGCCCGGCTGCTCGACCTGGCGGCGCGCGCGCAGCCCCGATACACAGCCGCAGCCACCGCGGGCTCGTCACACGGAGCTCGTGTTGCAGCACCACCGTCGTCACGCTCGCGAAATACAGCGGCTCTAGGAAGCACACCCAATCTCCCGTGCACGCTTGCTTTTGATGCCCACAATGACCCCCACGACCCTGAATGAAATAGTTCAACATAATTATCAAACACCAAAAGAAAACATGCTAATTTATCTACCCCCCTCTCTCTCTGCCCCCCTCTCTCTCTATTTAAGGCCTCGACACAGAGGCGTTGTTTCTCTGTGTGCCGATGTGTGTGTCTCTCTTTGTGTGTCTCTGTGTGTGTCTCTCTCTGCTTGTGTGTCTGTCTATGTGTCTCCGTGTCTGTGTTTTGTCTCTCTCTCAATAGCAATCTTTGGAAGAACGTAATCAACCAGGTAGGGTTTTGACTGTTGTATTAGCCGATTCTCTGTGTTGTATCGCATTATATTTCTCAGTTTTCTAGGTTAGTTTTCGCTTTCATTTGTATCTGATGATTGCTTGTGTTGCAATCGAAACGTCGTATGCAATTATTTAATTTATTATTTTATCTTTCCACGTGGCTTTACCGAAATAACCCAATAGTAATGTCTCTCTATTCAAATGAGCAAAGGGACTCTGCGGCCCTGATCCAGTCGTTGAAATTCCACGTTCCCGGGGAGGATGGCAGTCTCTCAACGAGATATCCGTGCTGCCGAATTGCCGCAAGGCGTCGTTCGTTTGAACACACCCAGGAATGTAATGGAACGAGTTGGAAGATGAGGAGGCTTTCAACTTCCAACCTTCCCATTGCGGGTCAAGAGGTCTGACCACAGCCGTGGGAATCATCGCCGTTGTCCAAGACTTGTTCCCAGAGGGTCCTGCATGGGGTGCTTGAGCCCAGGGCTTCATTTCCACACCCAGCAGGCCACATCCAGTGTACCTCTCGCTATGGCTATGAGTCGCGTGCCACTCAATTACAGTCTACCGGCTATGCAGGAAATATTCAATCATCCAGAACATCCTGCAGCGCAGGGCAATTGGGAAGGCGCTGCGCTTCACAGAAGGAGCGGGGTGGGTGTTGTTGATTCGATGTGATTCCTACCCAGTTAAGTACGGCATCACACTGTGTACGCCCTCCCGCACTAGGCACTTTCGCTGCAACGTACTCAACCTACCGATGCCCAGTCCTGGCGTCGGCACTGTGTACTATCTCGCCATCACGTACTTGAGAGGTAGAGAACTTAGCCATTAAGAGCCAACATTGTTTACGTTGCACGGTGAACATTCAGGCACCATATTATGCCCAAGTGTTAGCGTCTCTGACTGGCTGAAGTGTTTCTCATGGCTACTCCATTAATGTTTATTTCCCAACATACCGTACTTATGGCGACTATTTTTATGCAAATGTAAAGTATTTTTTACGTGATAAACAACTAATAAAAATACATATAATATACCAGACAAGATAATATATCTTAACATATCAATAATAATGACTTTCTTTTCACATAGATGGTTGTGCAATGTTGACGTGCAACAGGTTACTGATCATCCTCGGCCTGGGTACTGAACCACATTACCATCCACCATCCCATCTCGAGTAGGAGTTTAACAGGTGGGCTTTCACCACCAATATTATCCATAATAGAGGTTTCTTTAGGTGAGATCGTGTAAATATAAATGTGTGGTTAAACCCGCCACCACCCGCCAATTAATAAGGTTTGTCACGTAACCAAAACGTGACAATTCGTGACTAGTATGAACCGGGTCAATGCCTCTCATCGTCGGAAGATTGTGGCGCGAGAAACGGCTGCCGTTACCCAGGCGAGGAGAAGCTCACGTCCCCGACCTCCGTGCGCTTCCCCCGGGCCTGCTGCGCTTTGGGCCGGTGGTTACAGTTCCGCGTCTGGCCGTCCGTCCGCGATGTCACGTCGCTATCGTCATCCTCGATCCGCTTCTTTTGTTTCCCTGCGGACACGGGACGGACGCAGATCCACGATTAAAACCAACGGTGGCGGCGCGATAGGTGGCTCAGGGCGAGAGTGCTCGGAGATAAACCGCAGCGGGCCAAGAGGGCGTTATCGACGGCCATTTATTCGTGCAGAAAGGCCTCAACGAGCCTCGACTCTTTTTCAGGAGGGTGCTGCATTGGTGAACGAGTTGTTGGCCTCATCCGAGAGGAAACCGGAGAAAACCCAAACTCGGCGAACATCCACCACGCTTGGAATGTAACCGGGCCCCACCGACCCATGACGGGAACCTTGCCTCAAGGTGGCGGCTTTCGAGCACAGGCACGTGACTTGGACGTACCCCGGTCCCTCGGCTGTTTCTGTGGCGATGCCTCAGAGGCACACCCAGGCAGGGGGTGGCAGTCGCACCGATAGCCTCCCAGATATGTTCAGACCAAGACTTTTCTTAAATTATGTCAAATTGTAAAAAAGTAACAAGAATAGTCAATACTTCTTGATGGATATTTAACTTAAGATACAATCAGTGTCACATTTTGACAATCTGATGATACATTTTCTTTGGCGGAACGAGTGCCTTTATAGACACTAGAAACCGCGTGGCACGATTGGGAGCCCTGGGTGTGTGCCAAGGCAACCCCACGCGACCCCACATGACCCCACACGAACCCACACGACCCCACACGAACCCACGCGGCCACACGCGGCACCACGTGACCCCACGTGGCCCCACGTGGCCCCACGTGTGGCTCCATGCGGCCGTACCGAGGCCGACTTTGTTCCACAGCGACGGCCGCCGTCTCCTTCGCCGTGACGCCGCGCCCTCCCCGCTGCCGCCCGAGTCCTCGCTGGAAGAGTCGGGGATCATGTCCACCTTTGGCCGGGGGGAGAGGGTCGTGGGATTAATGCGACGCCAATACACGACACAGACGCACCGCGTCTAATCACACCACTAATATGATGCTTGTAAACGCAGGAAAGTCTGACAGCTGAGCCTCATGAATCTGTTTCAGGAGGGTCCTGCCAAGTTTTCACAGAAGGAGGATGATGATCGCTGTGTAGATTCCAAACGATTGAATGGCGGGTAATTTTTTTCTTATTTGGCCTGTGACGCTGGCACATGGCGTCTTTAATGTCCATTGTGAAGCAAACGGCACGTGGTTTGTTATGGTCGTATGTATGTTGAACTTCTGATCTCGTCAAGGAGCATAAACCATCACAGGAACCCCGGTCATCCTCGCAGCGGCTTTTGGCAGGCCATCGAACAAAGACGGTCACCGCATCGCGCGCTTTCAGATGCGCTTTTATGAAGCCACTGGAGCTGTGCACTTATAAATCTAGATCGAAAACTAATTTCTTTCTGAATGCTTTTCGTGTTTAGTTTGTTGTCCTTCCCCCCGCACCTCCATTTGACACGGTTGGATACGTATGGTACGAAAGAAGTTCAACATACACACATCGCATACATGCTTCCGTACATACATACATGCACAGATAAAAACATGCAAACCCCAAGACCCGAGCTGCCCGTACGTCGCGCAGGTTGAAGGTGATCTCCAGGTTGCGCCAGAAGCACTCGGAGAACTCGGGGTACATCTCCAGCACCTCGCACAGGTCCTCACGCAGGATCTTGTGGAGGTCGCAGTACGTGAGCGCCCGCACGTCCGCGTTGGACTTGCCGGGTTTGCTGCACACATCCAGCGGCTCGCCGAAGATGTCGTTCTTGCCTGGAAGAGAGGCGACCATCGACGCACAAACGCGTTGGTCCAACAAGCTGTCGATCCAGCGGTTAACCCGCCAATCGATCAATCCATCAATGTAGCGAGCCAGCAAGTCAACAACCAACCATTCACTCATTCCATTAATACGTAAAGCCATAATACATCACGTGGACATTTATAGCAGCCAAATACTCTAAACATCTAATGTTGATTCTAAATGTGGAGGGAAATAACGGAGGAACCGGAGAAAAATCCACGCGACCACGGAGAGACAAAGAACACGCAAACTCCAAATATACAGCAGGCGTCAGGGTCGGGATCGAACCCACAACCTCCTGCATACCAGGCGAGGGAGTTAACATCTCCTAGCCACGTGGCATTCCCATCTCCCCCTCGCATCTCCTAGGAGTGGACGTCCGCCCTGCGCACCGAGGATAGCGACGACGATGTCCTCCCGCATGATCTCGATGGAGCCGCGTGAGATGAAGTAGAGCGCTCGCAGGACGTCCCCTGCGTGCACCAGCGTGTCGCCGGGGGGTGCGTGCGTCGTCTTGAACTTGAGCGCGAGGGCACGCAGGCAGCCCTTGCTGGCGCCCTGTGGGGGGCACGCGGCAGGGAGGGGGGGGTGCGGGGGGACATGGGGGGACGTGGTGAATGAGGAGGAAAGAGGAGTTAACCCAATGATCACGCGAACTCCGGTCATCCTCACAGCAGCGGCTTTTGAATCGCCATCGAACAAAGACAGTCACTCATAATAGAGTTTTTTGTTGGGTTAGATCGCATAAATATATAAATGCGTCGTTAAAACCCGCCACCACCCGACACAGCCAACTAGTAAGGGTTGTCACGTAAACAGAACGTGGCCAATTCGTCACTGGTACAGCACGCCGGTGTGTTGGAGAGCCAAGCCACAACATTTACAATCTGAGTACGACGTTTCGCCAGTAATTACAACCAGCTTCATCAGGCGACAGCCAGATTGATAAGTTTATAAATTTCTGTTTAGTTTGTTATCCATCCCCCGCGCCTCTGATTAGCACGGTAGGCTACGTACGGTGCCAATGGAATTCAACATACACACACACGTACATACTCACAGCCCTGTGTTGTTCAACTGTACATTAGACTGCAAGCCAGCCACTTTTTGTTTTCATCAATTACGTAAACTTGGTCGGATTGTGCTTTTGGTAAAAGTTTTCGGAATGATTGGGGAGCGACCCTGGTCCACGCGCCTCATTCGTCTGCGACAGATGTCGCCACCAGATGGCAGCAGACATCGCGCCGTGCGAGCACACGTGGCCCACGGGACTCAACCCTCAGGGGCAACGTCGCGAGCGGCCACAGGAGGGACGATGGCCCCGGCCGTGAAAGGCTTAAATGTCGCTTACTATGCCGAATCGGGAGAACCACTTCATCACAGCCACGAACCCACGCGCCGCCGCCGCCGTCACTCAATATCGAGGCTGTGCTTCCCATGCAGTGCGTCACGAGGCACCCTCAGGGGACCAAGGGGACCCCCCCCCCCCCCGTGACAGCTGTCCCTGCGAGCGACGAAGTGGACGCGGCACTGGGAGCGATGTTGCGCCGTGGCTGCCAGGTCAAATTCGGCAAAGAGTTTGTGCCGGGCAGCCAGCCCACACGGAGCACTCTTTGAGAAGAACTCCACGGGATCTTTGGCGTCCACTTCGGATTTGACGGAACGCTGCCACGTGGACGCGGCGCCCCACGCACCTTAAAGGCCCTACAGTTTTCCAGAAGCGTCCGGTTGAGATGCAGGCAGATGTCGGCCTGCAGGCAGTCCGGGAAGCCCTTGAGCACCTGCCGCGGCACGTACACAAAGATAAAGGTCCCCGCACGGCCTTAGCAAACTTTTGAGGCAAGTGCTGTTAGCGAGCAATTATAAAGACGAGGGGGTGGGTGGTCAGCACCACGTCCTGCCGCCTTGTGGCGATCATGACACACCACGACAGTTTAGGCTGAGTCGACCTAGGCGCAGGACCAATTTAGACAATCGTCATTGGTGTTGGCCGTGAGTGTTCATCGAACTTGGGTCGCTGGGTTCGTAGCGTAGCGCGCTAACCGTTGCACCGCTGCTCCCCACATACACACACACGCGTGTGGGCGACTACGATCCACTCTGTGCATCGTCTAACAGCGGGATTTCAGCTGCTCGCAGAGTCACGGGGAGATGGATGCCGTGCGGAGCCCGTGTGTGTGTACGTGTGTGTGTGTACGTGTGTGTGTACGTGTGTGTGTGCGTGTACGTGTGTACGTTTGTGTGTGTACGTGTGTGTATGTGTGTGTGTACATGTGTGTGTATGTGTGTGTGTACATGCGTGTACGTGTGCGTGTACGTGTGTGGCGATGAACACACACGGCCTTTTTGTAAGCCAGCTGCTAGATGAAGGCCTCTCTACGTCGCGCGTGGGTGTCGTGCGGGTTTTGAGGTGGGTGGCACAATACGCGGGAGCGTTATAATCACGGTGCGGCAGTGACTTGGCAGCACTCATTTACCCATCCACAACTCGCCCACCAACCAACCTCACCTGACCATCTACCTCCTCACAGACCGACCCACCCATCGATCACCCAGGCAACCCACGAGTCATCACCCATCCGCCATCCTTCCCCACCCACCCAGTCACCAACCTGAAGACTTGCCCAGACACCAACACACTTCCCCACCCACCCAGTCACCAACCTGAAGACTTGCCCAGACACCAACACACTTCCCCACCCACCCAGGCACCAACCTGTCGACTTGCCCAGACACCAACAAACTTCCCCACCCACCCAGTCACCAACCTGTCGACTTGCCCAGCTACCAACACACTTCCCCACCCACCCAGTCACCAACCTGTCGACTTTCCCAGACACCAACACACTTCCCCACCCACCCAGTCACCAACCTGTCGACTTGCCCAGACACCAACAAACTTCCCCACCCACCCAGTCACCAACCTGAAGACTTGCCCAGACACCAACACACTTCCCCACCCACCCAGTCACCAACCTGAAGACTTGCCCAGATACCAACTCACTTCCCCACCCACCCAGTCACCAACCTGTCGACTTGCCCAGACACCAACACACTTCCCCACCCACCCAGTCACCAACCTGTAGACTTGCCCAGACACCAACAAACTTCCCCACCCACCCAGTCACCAACCTGAAACTTGCCCAGACACCAACACAATTCCCCACCCACCCAGTCACCAACCTGTAGACTTGCCCAGACACCAACACACTTCCCCACCCACCCAGTCACCAACTTGTCGACTTGCCCAGACACCAACACACTTCCCCACCCACCTAGTCACCAACCTGAAGACTTGCCCAGACACCAACACACTTCCCCACCCACCCAGTCACCAACCTGTAGACTTGCCCAGACACCAACACACTTCCCCACCCACCCAGTCACCAACCTGAAGACTTGCCCAGACACCAACACACTTCTGGTTGTCTTCTGAGCAAAAGTAAAGCGTTCCAAAGCTTGGAAGCATTTATGCTCCTGTTTACACGTAGGCTTTCGCGACCAATATCATCCATAACACAGGCTTTTTTGGGGTTATATTGCGTAACTATAAATGTGTTTTTAAACCTTCCACCACCCAACACAGCCAATTAGTAAGGCTTGTTTTGTTGTTTTTATGACAAACCTTACTAATTGGCTGTGTCAGGTGGTGGCAGGTTTAACGACGCATTTATATTTACGCAATCTAACCCAAAATAAAACCTCTATTATCGATCTTTGCCCCTGTACAGTTCCCTTTCTGCCTATAACGTGCACCGATGCCTTCTTTCTATATTGAGGGCGATATTGACACGTAAAATAAAGATCGATCGATGGAACCGCCGCAGGCAGCTCCCGTGCGCTCACCATGTTCATGTCGATGCCGTTGGTGTAGGACCACGCGTGCTGGAAGTACTCCTCGAGGCGCTGCCGCAGGGGGTTGGGGATCTGGTGGAAGCGGATGAACTCCTTGACGCGCAGCATCTGCGTGTGGTAGCGCGCCGTGCCGGTGTACAGCCGCTGGATGATGGCCGATACGTTGCCGAAGATGCTGGCGTACATCAGCGCTGTGGTGGACAAGCGGCGGGTAGCGGCGGTTAGCGGCGGTTAGCGGTGATTAGCGGTGATTAGCGGCGGTTAGCGGTGATTAGCGGTGATTAGCGGTGATTAGCGGTGATTAGCAGTGATTAGCGGTGGTTAGCGGTGATTGGCGGTGATTAGCGGTGGTTAGCAGTGATTAGCGGTGGTTAGCGGTGATTAGCGGTGATTGGCGGTGGTTGGTGGTGATTAGCGGTGGTTAGCGGTGATTAGCGGTGATTGGCGGTGGTTGGTGGTGGTTAGCGGTGGTTAGCGGTGATTAGCGGTAATTAGCGGTGGTTAGCGGTGATTAGCGGTGATTGGCGATGGTTGGCGGTGGTTGGTGGTGGTTAGCGGTGGTTAGCGGTGATTGGCGATGGTTGGCGGTGGTTGGTGGTGGTTAGCGGCGGTTAGCGGTGATTGGCGATGGTTGGCGGTGGTTGGTGGTGGTTAGCGGTGGTTAGCGGTGATTGGCGATGGTTGGCGGTGGTTGGTGGTGGTTAGCGGCGGTTAGCGGTGATTGGCGATGGTTGGCGGTGGTTGGTGGTGGTTAGCGGTGATTAGCGGTGATTAGCGGTGATTAGCAGTGATTAGTGGTGGTTAGCGGTGATTGGCGATGGTTGGCGGTGGTTGGTGGTGGTTGGTGGTGGTTAGCGGTGGTTAGCGGTGATTAGCAGTGATTAGTGGTGGTTAGCGGTGTTAGCGGTGATTAGCGGTGATTAGCAGTGATTAGCGGTGATTAGCGGTGATTAGCGGTGATTAGCGGTGGTTAGCAGTGATTAGCGGTGATTAGCGGTGATTAGCGGTGGTTAGCAGTGATTAGCGGTGGTTGGCGGTCATTGGCGATGGTTGGCGGTGGTTAGCGACGGTTAGCGATGGTTGGCGATGGTTAGTGCCGGTTAGCCACGTTTGGCGGCAGTTAGCAGCGGTTAGCGACGGTTAACAGCGGTTATCGAGGCGAGCGAGGAAGCAAAATCAACGAGCGGTGGGCGGGGAGGTGGTTGGTGGGGAGGTGGGCGACTGACATCCGATGAGCATGACGCAGATGGAGAAGATCTTCTCCGAGTTGGTGTTGGGTGACACGTTGCCGAAGCCGACGCTTGTGAGGCTGCTGAAGGTGAAGTAGAGCGCCGTCACGTAGCGGTCCTTCACCGACGGGCCGGCCGCCGGGTCCGTCGCGTTGTACGGCCTGCGGGCGGCATCATGCTCACTCGCTCACTCGCTCGCTCAATCGCTCGCTCCGTGGTGCCGCCGTTCGCTCACCCGCTCGTTTGCTCATTTGCTCGGTAATTCAGTTGCCCCATTACATACTTTATTCATTCATTCCCTCACGTATTCATTCAATTACTTTTATTAACTGAATCGATTTATTAATTCAATCGTTTGTTCATTCGTTCACTCATTCAAACGGTAATTAATTAACCCATTCGTTCTCGTGAATACATTCAATTGGTTTAATTTACTCTGATTCATCAGAGTAAATTAAACGTTCACTTATTCTATTGCCCATTTACTTGTGCTAATTTACCTACCTATTCAGTAATCATTAACACATTCAATCTCTCAGGCAAATTTCTGCTGATAATTAATTAATTCACTCTCACTCATTCATCAATACAATTTATTCACTCGCTAATTCAAATGCGTATTCCCTCACTCGCTCGCTCATTAACTGAACCGCTCGTTCATTCATCAACGACTTACTCAAATCTCTCGCTCGTGACGAGCACCGAGAAACACGCACGGCGCACTCGAGGCGAGTGACACTTTCACTCGCCTGTTGATCTGCTTGCCGAGCGCGTAGAGCCAGCCGATCTGCTCCATGGTGTAGGTGCGCTCCACGTTGCCGATGGCGTACCAGATGCACGCGAGCCAGTGAGCGATGAGCGCGAACGTGCACATGAGTAGGATGAGCACGGCGGCGCCGTACTCCGAGTAGCGGTCCAGCTTGCGCGCGACGCGCACCAGCCGCAGCAGTCGCGCCGTCTTCAGCAGCCCGATGAGGATCGTCGTCTGCGGGCGGGCGGGCGGGGGCGGGACCAAGGGGTCGCGGGGGTCGTGTGTCAAAGGGCAGAGATGGGTTGTGGCGGCAGTGGCTGTTTTACAAAATGACTTTTTTTTCTTCTTCCCAATTACAATACCAATGACGGTAATACCCCGGTTTGTATGTGTGCATGTTGAAATTATTTTGCATTGTATGCAGCCAACCGTGCTAATCGCAGGTGCGGGGGAAGGAGAACAAACGAAGCACTAAAAGCATGTCTTCACAAATGAGTTTTAAATATAGATGGTTTAAAAGTGCATGGCTCCAGTGGCTTCCTAATATTGGAAGGAAGAGCGTTCCAGACAGCCGCAGAGCGTTCCAGACGGCCACAGGTCGAATGAGCTAACCCTACAGCCCCGGGAGCATCCAATTATTTATGAATGAATAAAGCGAATCATCTACAATGGCCAGGCTCACCCCGAGTCCCGAGGCTCTTATGAGGAGGAGGATCACGCTCGCTCGGGATGTTTGGTCAATCCCACTCCTGGCAGTTTGGCGTCTCGTGGAAATAAAGCGGGCAAACCCGGAGAAAACCCACGGTGCACACAAGTCGGGGAGACATCTCAGCCCTGCGACATCCTGGCCACGTCTCTCAGTCCCACAGCGACAGCACTTGGCAAGCCCTGGGGTGGTCACCCATCCAAGTTACTAAGCAGGCTAAGTTCTGCTGAGCTCCCGGGGTCTGACGAGACGGTGGTGCATGCGCGGCAGCCTGGAAAGGTCATCAGTGTGTATTATGTTGAACATCTTTCCAACCGTACATAGCCAACCGTGATAATGGAAGGTGTGGATTGCTGGGGCTCGCTGAGAGGGGAATATCGGCTTTTGATTATTTCAATGAGAACACATTTTGATCTCATTATATAACGTTTTTGATCAAATAAATAAGTTACGTGGGTTGAATTGAGAATGTATTCAGCTAAACGATACATTCCGAATGTTCACATACATTACACACACATGCAATGTCATGTACAGCACGCAATTCAATTCGAAGGCGTCAATAAGTGGGATTTGTTTGCGCGTGCGTGGATACGTTCAAATACAGACTCACTTCCTCAGTGTTTACCGATTATAATTTAGCAGGTTGATTAAACGACTACAGCTCGATGTCCTTTTTGCAGACGTGCCGCTTCTGTTTCAAAAGAGGGCTTTAATTTACGGCGGAACGCGGTGTCCCAACGGGCCGAATCGATGGACATCGAGGGGGCGAGGATGGGATGGAAGGTGAGGGCACCTCAGAATGAGAACCTTGATTCACCCTGGAGGAATCCAAAGAGCTATGAAGCTCTTTGTCACAGATGTCCAGTGTGGGCGCCAAACTCATCGTAATTCGATGCTGTCCGGCCGTGCGAACGCCCTCGACGGGAACCGACCGCTAATCCAATCGCGTTGGCATCACTTCGGCGTAATCTCTCTGGCGACGCGTGCGCTTCTCCCCAATTGCTCCTCGAGCAGAGGGCGGGTGGTGGGGGGGTGGGGCAAGGTTGAGCGCCCGAACCGAGCGCGGGCCACGCGGGCAGTGGCGCCGTTGTTCTACGCGGCCAGCGAAAAGCGCAACGGAATACAAATGAAGGCGATGAAAGTTAATCGGCGGCGTCAAAACGGCGATGGCCGAGGGGGCGGGCGGCTTCGGAGGGCGCACGAGGGGGGGGGTTGGGGGGGCGGCCAGCACCACGGCCGGCCACCTTTGTCTCCCCGGTGGCGAGGTTTACACCAGGTAATCATTTCAGACTGAGTCGACCGAGGGGAGGCCCAGGACCGGTTCAGATAATCGTCACTTGTGTTGGCCATGAGCGGGAATCGAATTCGGGTCGCCGGGTTCGTAGCGCGGCACGCTTACCGCTACACCACCGCTCTCCACACACGCACAGACGCACGCGCACACGAGGACAAACCTCATTGGAGCCTGAGCCAAAGATGAGCAGGTCGAAGGGGATGGCCGCCACCATGTCAATGAGGAACCAGCCCTTGAAGTAGTGGATGGCGATCTTGCCCGGGTGGCTCACCACCTCGTCGTTGTCGTCGACGTACGTCGTCCGGAAGTTGATGAGGATGTCCACGATGAACATGATGTCCACGAGCAGGTCCACGATGCTCAGGGGGTCGCAGGCGTAGGCGCAGCCCTGCCGCTGCCGGTCGACCTGCAGTGGCAGACGTCTCATTCGCTTACTACACGCAGAGAGAGCGAGAGAGAGAGAGTAGACAAGCGGTCTTCATTGATCACCACGCAAGAGCCACCAGGAGCCCGGAAATCGCTTTGCTCACTCGTGTGAACCCTCCCACGTGCTCTTTGATCACCGCTCTTGCCCCTTGCGTTGGCCCCGATCTTTGCCGGCCTCCTAACACTGGGCTCGACATCGCTCGCCACAACTCCACGTTTTGACGTGATTGCCCGAGCCTGCTCATTACTCTTCACCCACGTCGTTATGATGTCTTTTGGGGTTTCACCGACTCATTAATAATGCACACGCGCTGTCATCTCATTTGCCTCTTCCAAATTACGCCAAGGGCATGCATTGCCGTCTGAAATTGTCTGAAAAGCCAAGCCGTTCCACAATGCATTTTGGAAAGCCTTATGACTCGTGCACGTGCTTGTGGGCTGGCTAGGGGGTTGTCCAGGGACACAGCCTCTCTTTGCCCAATTGCTGCTCATGGGCACACAAAGGAAATGACATAACTGAAGCAAACTCACCCACGCACCCACCACAACTTACCACCCACCTACCCACCATCACTACAACCAACCACTCACCAACTACCACAGCCAACCACCCATTCACCACCACCACAACCAACCACTCACCAACTACCACAGCCAACCACCCACTCACCACCACAACCACCCACCCAATAACCACCACCACAACCAACCACCCACCCTGATAAATATTGCTAGACAACTTGATCCGAAAGTCCCCTAGGTTCATGGACTAAATGGTTATTTGGTTTGAAGTGGGGAGATAAGATTCACGCGATGTTATTTATTTACTGCCTTCTTGCCCGCAATTCTCCACGATGGCACACCACAAGATTTGTACAACCTGGCGGGTCCACTGAGTGGGCCCCACGGTGTAAGTGCGCAGCTCTCGCCAGCAACACAAGGCAACCCAGCAGCCTTTGTTTCATGTGTCTGATTCTGCTGCTGAGACTCGTCGTTGAGAAGACGTGTTCATGAACACACCGGTCCGGAGGACCCACGGCCTGACGGACGAGGGAGTGATTGCGTGGGTGTTTGCGGTTGTGCTGCTGTCGTTCGACACGAGGTCTGCAACTGAAGTCAGAGGCGGGGCTAGGGACACGCCCATTACTCGTGACATCAGTCGGTACAACGCGAACATCACGGCAACGCACCGTCGACACGCGCCTTGACCCGTTTGTTGCGTTCGATGTCAGCAGCAGGGCTCGGTTCGGTTTCCGCAGTGGAAAAACAAGCTGGCGCCTCGTGACTCGCGCAGGGATGGCCCGGCACTTGCCCGGCACGGGATGGCGCAAACGGAAACTGGGCACCTGACTCTGACGCAACTGAACCCTGAGGCGCATCCCGACTCAACCCCGAGTGGGCGCGGATGGGTGCCGCGCTTCCAGCTCACCTGCGGGTCGTTGAGCAAGAAGGCGGCAGAGAAAGGCGTGAAGACGGCGGTGTAGATGACGAGCAGCAGGATGAGCCAGTCCCACATGGCCTTGAAGGGGCTGTAGTGGAGGATGGTCCATTTCTGGATGCGTGGGGCTTGAAGTTTGTACTCGGGAAGGACGTCAGCTCCCAGAGAGAGGACCTGCACGAGGCACGAGGCACGCGGGACGTCACGCTCCCGCTCTCTCTCTCGTCGTCACCCACAGGTCAGAGAATTCCAAGACGTGTGGCTTTGAAATGATCAAAAAGGGTTGAGAATGGGATGATTGCGTGACTGAGGTGTGAAATACAGAGCGCAGAATAGTAGGAACAGATTAAGTGAACGTTAAACCGAAAAGCACACAAACTCAGAAGAAAAAGAAGATAAATTGTTGATAGATAAATTTTTTTGTGTGGGAAAGTATGGCGTGTTTGGTGTCATTTCTTCTGTGCCACGATGGCACAGAATGTTCCCCCGTAATCCCCATCCGTGATGGAATTTAATTACGAGAAGATGTCTATTCGCCTGCCCGTGTCCTCACCATAGCGATCTGCCGAAAGTTTGTCTTAATATAATACATTAATCTGGGCTAGGTACAATGTGGCCTAAATACGCAAACGACTCCTGCGTTGAGCTCGTACGAACTGAGTCGTCCCCGACTCTTCTCAACAGGAGCTCCAAGCTTCGTGAATGATCAATACAGCGGTTGAAATAACAACGTGCAAGAAGGGCCATCGCAGAGGCGAGCGCCTGACAGTGATTTTCAACCGTTTTGACGTCGAACTGCGAATCTCCAAACCACAAGTGGGACATCCGGGGACACACACCGCTCAGGCGTGCGGTGTGTGAGCGTGTATGCACGAGAGTCGCGCGTGTGCTTCCTGAGATTTGTCCCCTATCAGTGAGCACACGGCGAGCGCCCGATCCACGTCCCGCGCCCGCCGCCGTCGCTTCCGCGGCCGATGACGGCGGCCGCTCAAACAGAACGACGGGCGGCAGCCTGCACCGCTGCGGGAAGGCACTCCCCGCTGAAACAACCAAAACAGAATGGAACGACGCCGGTGAAGCGGTCGCCGTGACGATCGCGCCTCCTCGAACCCCCCCGCCCCCCGGCGATCGAGCGCCCCCACGGCCGCACTCGCGACGTTCGCAGCGGCGGCGGCAGCGGCGGCCTCGGAACGTGCCGGGGCTTAACGACCGCAACGGAGCGTGGCGGGCGACATCGATTTCCTCCGACGGTCGCCTCGCGTGCCTCGGAGACGCGCGACGGGCGCTGCAGAGACACGAAATCGATGGGCACCGACGGCGAGAGACGCCAGCATTGATTCGATTCACGCCGGGCGCTGTGCGCGGGACCCCCCAGGGAGAATCGTGTCCATCGCGTTAATGCGTCTGCAGCGACCTTCAGGGTCGCGAGCTTAATTCTGGCCCTGAGATGTCTCAATCTCTGCCGGCATTCAAAGCGCCTCGTGCCGTGTTGCCTGTGCGTGTGTATCTACAGGTGCACTACAGTAGAGACTGTGCTGTTTTTATACAAAATGAAAAATCTTTAAGCTTTGATTGATTAATTTTACAGAGCATCTATCATAAGGGAAAGTCATTGCCAGTCTTATTTATCCAGGGTGGATTTTATGAGTCTCAAGACTCTTGAGGAGGGTCCTGTCCTGCATTTGGATGTTTGATCCTCCTATAATTTTTTTGATGTACAATTAATTTTGTCTCCGAGGTGCTGTACATTGTCAACGGGGGTGCTTTTTAACGCTCGTTCGCACGCCGGAGATGCCTGTGGGCAGCCTGTTGCGACAAGCGCAGGGGTGCGGGGTGCATTAGGCCCACCCAGGGCCGAAGGAACGTGGCGTAGCGAGGCGGGCGGGCCGGGCTGACCGCCCCCGACGACGTGACCGACGCTCGCTCCACGATCGACTTACGGCGCTTCGCCAGCCCATGTGATGTTTCGCTTAGCGGCGGCTGGAGGAGGGCAAAGAGGGCCCAGTGGGGGGAGGTGGGGGGGGGAGCAGGCGGTGGGTGGGGGGGTGTGCTCCCTGGTGGGGGGGGGGAGTGTGCACTGAGCAAGACGTGCGCCCCAGCCTCCCGCTTCACCAGGTGGCGAGTTATACCTGCTGCAGCGTCGAGTCTAGTGCCGTGACTGGAAGCTCCACAATGGGAAAGGCGGTTTCGCTCTTCGCATGTCGCTGGATGATTGCACCAAAAGAAAAGGACAATAGACAAATGTTTTAAAAATAAAGAAGCAAACGAATGAATCACAAGCACGCGATGCCAACACAGTGACCACCACCAGCCCACCGCATGCCGTCACGCTGCACATCACAAGCACGCGCACAGCACCCGCTCGGCAGCGTGCGGTAACACCGTGAGCAGTTGGCTGCGGGGAAAAACGTCGCACCCGCAACTTGTACCGCTAAAATGTGCAGTGCAGAAACATGCAGTGTGTGTGTGTGTGTACACGTGTAGCTACACGCGGCGCACAAGTGACCTGCGCCACCAGGACAATGCTGCGCATTCTTTGCGCGTAAAAAAAAAACCGGAGATGCATCGAGCAGCGATTGGCGACGATCCGATTCGAGTTTCAAGTTGACCGGGGCGAAAACTCGGAGCAGGGGACAGGGCCCTCACTTGCGAGCGTGGCCTGGGGCATGGGTCTGCTGGCAGTAGGTAGCAGTGGTTGCAATGCACGGTCGCAATTGTGTAATTATATAGGCCCAATCGAGAGCAATCGTGAGGCGTCTGTGAACGACGACACGAAGGGACCCCCCTTGACTGTGAAGAGCCACTTGAACGCGCGTGTTGAGACATCGAAAATCACTCGAGCGGTGGCAGTAACGCGACAACTCGTCCGTTAATCACGGGGTGCAGCTTGTCCTCAGCTGCAAGCATCCTGGACAAAATCACCTCCCTTGAGAGTGAAACGATTTACATATTTATTTTATTATTTTGCCAAGAGCTGGCCGCGTGCTTTCTACACTGGGCAGTAACACCTGTGCTGCACACACACACACTTGATCAGTCTTTAAAAGCCAATGAAGCCACTGGTCGAGGCAAGACGCTGCTGTACCAGTGATACAAGATTGAAAGGCAGTCCACACTAGGCGACCCTCACACAACAACAACCGCCATTTGCCACCAAGTGGCGGTGACGTCACAACAGCACTTGTGCCAGGCTAGGTGCGAGGGGCTGGTAACCCCTCCACATAGCACGGCCTTGAACCGGTAAGCTCGGTGGAGACACCCATCCAAGCTCGTGCTGGGGGCGCTGGGGAGAAAGGGGGTCTCTGTGACGCCGTCTGGCAGAACCGCAGACTCTACCTCTCCGTTGGCAGATGCACCACCAGTGCCCCCCACTATGCCAACTTGCTGTGTGTTAGCCACCCGACACTCCGCTCGTTGTTGTGAGCGTCGGTTCTCTGCCCTCCGCTGTTGCTGGAGGGTGGCTGGCTGCAAATGCCCAGAAAGCGTCCTTCATGAGCCTCCTCTACAGAGGCCGAACGTGAAACGCCTGGGACCAGTCGTCCGCAAGTCCACTCAGCTCCATATCCTCCTGTATCACATTAGTCCATCATCTATAGCTAGTACCGTGGCCATTTGGCCCCCTCTATCCGGCCAAACAAAATCTGTTTGGGGATGCGGTGGCTGGGTATGTGGTCTAAATGACCGAGCCGATGTCGCCTTGCCTGCCAGAGCTCAGCAATGCAAACTGGTTAAACCCGGGATGGATCGTAGGCAGGCCAGACTGAATATTTGTAACCGGCGCAGATGTTCCATTTGGGCGGTCCACGTTTCGCAAGCATAGAGAAGGAAGGGCATGACTGTGGCTGAGAAGACCTGAAGCTTTGTATGGAGTGACAGACAAGTTTGCTTCCACACAGCGTGACGCAGCCCGTGAAAATATGCCGCCCGACTGAGTCGGAGTGAAACCTCTGCTGTCAAACCAGAGTTCATTATAGCACACTGCCAAGGTATGGAAACATCTCCATTCTCTCCACAACTGCCCCATAAACCTCCCCACAAATAAACTGCCCTCAAGCGCGCACAAAGACAAAGATCCCCGGTATAGCCTTAACAGAATGTAGGTGCAAGTGCTGTTGGCGAGCACCTATAAAGGCCGGAACACGCACATACATAACTCGTGAAAGCTCTCTCCAAAAAGCCTCCTCCTCACGCCCCCCCCATCTTCCCTCTCTGCTCATTCTCGACCATCCTGCAAGGTTCTCCGACTTCTCCTCTTCACCAATCCCATCTCTTGCTCCTTCCCCCCCCCCAGACATCCTCCACTCCCTCGCGCGTTCTCCCCTCGAGACCGATCGGCCAATCGCGTGCTCCGACCTCTGCACGATCGTGCGACGGCAGGTGGAGCTATTTATACATTTACGTCGGCGTGCGGCGACCTTTACGCGATTAAAACAATAAAGAACCCGGTCTAATTGCAGTGGCATCGCGAGACACGCTGGCGAGAAGTGATTTGTGTGCATTTGAGTCGTGAAGACATTATCAGCTCGGGGGGTGCGGAGCGGCAATCGGTCACGGGGTCCCCAGCGTTTGATTTGTCTCTCGTGGTGGTTGTCAAGGGGGCCCCGACTCGTAACGTTGGCCACCGGGGGGGGGAGCAAGGCACGACTTCACGTGTGTTACAGTATTCATAGGCGCCCGTTATATTTGTTCCTGCAATGACTGCGTCTGCGCGTTCTACGTCTGCGCATTCTACGTCGTTGATTTCGCTGTCAAATGACTTATTGTGTTTAGTTTGTTGTCCTTCCCTCGCACCTCCGATTAGCACCGTTGGCTACGTACTGTGCGAAAGAAGTGCAACTTACACACACACACGTGACGATTCATACAAACAATTGTGCGTTGACCCTAGCAAGAGGGGGATTTTTTTTATTATTATAGAGGGATCGCCAAACCCCGAGGCTGCAGATTCCCATCACCTTTGCCTCCCAGGTGTCTCCCATCGCCAATTACACTGCTGGGAAAAAAAATCAAGAATTAACAGAGGTAAGTAAATGAAAGTGCGCAGTTTAAGTGAGCCACTGCACGTTCACACTCTTTGCAAAAACAAGTGTCAGTTATTTTCTAAAATCACCACCTTGGATGTAACAAAAAAATCGATTTAATATATATGAACACATTTGTGAAATCCAAACAGTTATCGTTCAAAGTAAGTAGACTGGGCTTAAATCAATGCACTTTGATCTCTTAAGTAATCACAACACGCAGGAGTGAAGAAAATCATTCGTTTTGCGAGTTTAACTCCTGAGTGGAGATAGCAAAATAAACAGAAAAAGCACCGCCTTGCACAACAAGAGTTGTGTGGACTCAACACGGCCCCACGTCTCGAGCGGGTCAGCACTTGATGCCGCCACCCAGATGCCACCGGTTCTAATATATTTAATCTATCTCCCGGTGCGGCAGGTGCAGCAGCAACAACGGGGAAAGTTTCACCGCCTCTGTCCACCCAGATGAGCACGCTTGGCTACGGGTGGCTACGTACGGCGCGAAAGAAGTTCAACATCATCCATATTTATTTTATATCTACGTGACTTACCGAAAGACCCAAAGAGTATGAATCCGTGCAGTCACGAAAACGTCAAATCTAGATCAAACAATAAAATGGTGACCACAGTTAGTCTATCGGCAGGTCAGGCGTGGTGGGATGAAGCGTGGGTACCGCCACCTCTTCCAGGATTTCCTGGCCGGTGTGGAAGGAATGGGGGAAAACCCCCCTCGACAGAGGCTCTCTAAAGCTCGCACCTCGAGTTGGAGGCCAGTTTCGCCGGCAGTGGCGTCAGTGAGCAATTCCAGGGCTGCGCCTTCACCCCACGCGTGTGTGGGGGTCGTGGAAGGAGCAGATTGCGATGCAAGTTCTGTAGGAAATGGGAGCTCGAATATGGGGATCAAAGATAATACAATTTCATAGCATCCGGGATGAACTGCATTTAATACGAAAAAAAATCGTAAGGAAGCTCTAAGCATGTGATTGATAGTTTGAAGACGAATTTCTTGAAAAACATATTTTTGTGTTTAGTTTGTTGGCCTTCCACCCCCACCTACAACTAGCAACCTACATAGGATACATGTGGAGCGAAAACGTCGGACAACTTGCCGAACATCATGTGGGCACATTTCAATTGTTCTATGGGCGCCGTTGTCGCAAGAGGAGACAAGCCCCATTCACGATGCTCGTTAGTAGTGAGCAGTGCACCACCCTGTGTCAACGAACGGCCCCAGACAGATGTTACCACAGAGCGACTTCTTTCATGACTGCTGCTACTTTTAATTACTGGCACGGTATTGGTAATTCGGTATGGGATCCCTAATGATCAACTGTTAATTACTCGACTTAAAACTTTAGTGACTGCAGGAATTCATATTCTTTGGTTCTTTCGGTAAAGTCACGTAGATAGAAAAAATAATAATAATAATAATAAAAGTGAGCGTACTGGCAGTCTATAATGTAGACTGTAGCAATAGTTATTAAACTGAACCTGAGTGAGTGTACTGGCAGTCTATAATGTAGACTTATTTTGGTTCTTTCAGTCATACAAATAAAATAAAAACCACGACGTTTTGACCGCTTGTGTTGCGATCGAAACGTCGTGATTTTTGTATTTATTTTTGTATTTATATGACTGAAAGAACCAGAATAAGTCTACTTTACAGACCAGCACACTCACTCAGGTTCAGTTTAATAACCATTGCTACAGTCTACATTACAGACTGCCAGTACACCCACTCAGGTTCAGTTTAATAACCATTGCTACAGTCTACATTATAGACTGCCAGTACACCCACTCAGGTTCAGTTTAATAACTACTGCTACAGTCTACATTACAGACTGCCAGTACACCCACTCAGGTTCAGTTTAATAACTACTGCTACAGTCTACATTACAGACTGCCAGTACACCCACTCAGGTTCAGTTTAATAACCATTGCTACAGTCTACATTATAGACTGCCAGTACACCCACTCAGGTTCAGTTTAATAACCATTGCTACAGTCTACATTACAGACTGCCAGTACACGCACTCAGGTTCAGTTTAATAGCCATTGCTACAGTCTACATTATAGACTGCCAGTGCGCTCACTTTATTTTTATTTTTTCTATCTCCGTGACTTGACCGAAGGGACACGTGAATGACTCGTTATGCAACAATTATGTAATGTTCAGACTGACTGGCGGTCATTGCTCACACAAAGGGTGGCGTGCACTTGGGCGAACTTCGAGCGCCTTCGATGTGCTCGACTTGACGGCGAGCAAGGGCGGTGGTGCCCCGAATGAGGCGACAGCTGTTTGGTGACAACGAGCCGCAGCCAAGCCGTGGAGAAGGGATGAGTTGACAACGGTCGCGGAAGAGACGAAAGTTTAAGCCGAAATTTCAAGCCATTTACGTTTATATCCTGCTCAGATAATCCCCCTCCCCCCCGCCATTTAATTTCAAGCCTGCGAGGATGGAAGCATTACGCACGGGGTGCTGCGAGAGGATTTCAAAGCGGGTCTCTAAGCGGTTTGCAAACACCAGCACATTAAAGTTGCCACGCGCCACCAAAACCAGACGCAACAATTACGGCGCGAGCCCCAGCAATAGAGACGGGTCAAGTGAATGTAATGAAAACCAATACTAAATATTAAATACTAAATATAAAATACTAAATATAAAATACTAAATATAAAATACTAAATATTAAATACTAACTACTAAATACTAACTACTAAATATTAAATACTAACTACTAAATACTAAATATGAAATACTAAATATTAAATACTAAATGTTAAATACTAAATATTAAATACTACATATTAAATACTAACTACTAAATACTAAATATTAAATACTAAATATTAAATACTAACTACTAAATATTAAATACTAAATATTAAATACTAACTACTAAATATTAAATACTAAATATTAAATACTAAATATTAAATACAAAATATTAAAAACTAAATATTAAATACTAACTACTAAATACTAAATCCAAATGCTTGTAAATGAGCCGCGACTGCACATCGTATGGGGGATCTCAGCAGCTTACATGCCCAATACTCAAGTGTGTTCACAAATGAATCTGCAAAAACACCTGCGTAACAGACGCCAACCCAGCAGCTGTGGACCTCTACGACTGAAAGCGAGTGTGGACGGAGAGGAAAGGAATGATGCCCTCCTGCATAATCTGGCTCTGGATCGGGCAGGTGGGTCGTGAGAGAAGTAGGTGGTCGAGGGGAGACGATTCTTGGGGCACAAGACCGAGAGGAAGAGAGAGAGAGAGAGAGAGCGACGTTGAGCGAGGAGGAAGACAGAGGGACACGGGGGGAGGGAGTTGAGACCCGTAGTGGATGTGGCCGCTCGCGCTCTGCCGCTGACTGATAGCGGCGGCTCGAGGCGCGCCGATTCGGGCCGTCAAATGCCACCACGTGCTGTGGCTCGGACCTGAAACGTCTAAATCACGGTGCCGGTTCAAGTCGGGAGCTGTGGCATTTTTATTTCAATGCCCCCCCCCCACCTTTTTTTGAAGTCTCTAATTTTGTCGCGCATATTGATTAACATTAGCGCTTAAACATTGCGGCGTCAAGAATGTGAGCGTAAATATTTTATTTGTGCATTTTGCAGCTTCAACTGAAATTAACGCAAATATGATTTGTCGTTGGGGGGAGTCGGAGAGATGAAACTAATTAATATAACACCATCCACACAGAGACACCAACATACGTGTCAACACAAACCGACTCGCAGACAGATGCAGGTAAGCACGCAGCACAACCTGTACACAGAATAAACGCAACCAGTACAGAGGCAAAGGTGCAGCCCTGCAATTACCTGCTCACACATCTGCTGGTGGAAGGGCCTCGAGTGGGCTGTCTACAGTTTCCTCGAGTGAAGGGTGTTTGGCCTACTCGCCCACGCTGGTCAGACGGCTTGGAAGAGGTGGGATCACCAACGCTCTACCCTACCGCACACGACTGGCTGATCATCCAACATTTGGTTGAACCCATTTGTACTGCCTGTCTGGGCAAAGGCCCCGGGGTGAGATTCAAGAAGCCTGCAGCATTGCATCAGCTGCCGCGACCTGGCAAGTCACCGAACTGCGGTGCACAGTGCCGACTCAAACTGCCGCGCCGGGAGGCCGAAACGAACCGGCGACATTCTGGCTCGCCAGACCAGCGCGCCAGACGTGATTCCACGGCAGCGTGAGAGTCGCGCTGATGCACTTGCTAACAACACTAATGTGTACTGCTTATACAAAATCCCCGGGCCATGTGACACACAAAATAATAATCACGGAGCTGCAATGGGATGGAGCAAAATTCATAAAGGGGAGAGGGTGGTGGTTGGGGTGTGAGGTCAACCGCAGCTCGCCAAACACACGGCGCGCACACACAAATCCACCCCCACTACACCCCCACCAACCCCCTTCACTGCACCCCCACCACCCCCTACACCTCCACCACCCCCTACACCTCCTCCACTACACCCCCACCACCCCCCACCACCCCCTACACCTCCACCACCCCCTACACCTCCTCCACTACACCCCCACCACCCCCCACCACCCCCTACACCTCCACCACCCCCTACACCTCCACCACACCCCCACCACCTCCACTACACCCCCACCACCCCCCGACCACCACCCACCCCCTACACCCCCCCCCACAACAATGGCGCGAGCGCCTCCACCTTGGCCTCACGAGCCCCCCCCCGCACGGGCCCCCCGAAGGGCGGCGTCCCCCCCCCCCGCACGGGCCCCCCGAAGGGCGTCCTCCTCCTCACCCCCCCCCGGCCGCCTCGCGCGGCGCCGTCTGGACGCGAGCGAGCGCCGTGCGGCAGCAAGCTCGCAGGAGGCACGGACACTCGCTGTGGGTGTCAGGGCTGACGATTGAGTCCAGCAAACGGCTTTCTCACACCACTGCTGGCAGAAAGGCTTCCGCTAGGGGGAGCTGTACAGAGCCACTCGAGGATGTTTGGCCTACACTTCCTTCCTGTCGACCCAACCAACTGTGCCGTACCCCATTGGTGCTGCTATCTGCTGCAGACGTCGTGTGATTGGTTTCGCTTCTCGAGATAAGCCAGTTTGAGGCACAGTCGAAGACGCAGGCTGCTGAGCCTGGACTTGACCAGGGCCAGGAAGCTGGCAGCACGGATGGCTGGGGGGGGGGGGGGGTCACCTCCCACTCGGCAAGGGGTGACCGGGCGAGGGGTGCTTCACTTGCATCACGGGTTCCATCCAACCTCCTTCACGTCAGCATCATGCCGCTGCTGGCTGGGGAGCTCCGTTTTCTCTCTCCCGATTGTGGACGTCAACATCACCGCCGCACAAACACCGAATGGCGACCTGTGCGTGCATGTTCCACCCGCTGCTTTACCTTAAGCCGTAACAATATGCGGTTGCAGATGATTGCTCTAAAAACCGTTTAATAATCATCTAATCCACCCCTTTTCATAGGTCAGTATCATTTCGACTAAATGGGTTGAAAATGCTTTCATTACCGTGTCAGATTGCTCCTTCGCGTGGCACGGGAGCGAGTAATGATGTTGGCCGGCATGGCCCAGCAGCCCACTAGTGGGTGCCCCCCATTGCCCCCCAGGTTCCACCGCCCCCCCCAGGCATGAGTTTGCCATTGGACGAGGAGACACAGCAGCCGAGGGCTCGCGAGTGAGTGGAGACGTTAGGGGACATTTCAAGAGGGGGCCCTCCTCAGTGACCTGGCTCGGCGTTGGGTCCAATCGAGGCAGCACCGCTAAGAACGTTGTGGTTGTTGTTGTGGTTGTGGTGGTTGTTGTTGTTGTGGTTGTTGTTATTGTGGTTGTTGTGGTTGTTGTTGTAGGTGTGGTTGTGGTTGTTGTTGTGGTTGTTGTTGTTGTGGTTGTTGTTGTTGTGGTTGTTGTGGTTGTTGGGTTTAATTTTTCGGTCTCTGCCAACCGCGACGAGCGGCAAAGCTGTGGTGTTCAGTCAGGTGTTGAGGCTTCGGCGGAGCGTTGAAGTCAGCTGCGTGTGTGTATGCTCGGCGGATTGTTGCACCGCGTGACCCTGAGAGATGGAGGGATCTTGAGAAGGCCTGCATCTAGCAGTGGACTGACCAAGGCTGATGATGATGATCTAGCAAATTAGATTTTTCAGTTAAATTTGCATAACTCAACTCTTGATGGCTGAGATTTGTAAACGTAATTGGTGAGTGACACCGGGTGAACTGATTCTGGAGGCGATGAAAAACTAAGAATAGGCTTTACCCTTTCTGGCAATAAAACAGGTGTTAAGATGTTCAAACACTAAATATAAACCTTCTGGAAGAAATCAAGTCTGCGTTAACCACACGTACTCGTGGTGAACATGCAAACAGACATGCTCTGAATTTAGACTTAAAACTTTCGTGACTGCAGGAATTCATATTCTTGGTTCTTTCGGTAAAGTCACGGAGATAGAAAACAACAATCTAAGTTGCTCTGATAATTAATAGATGCATTACTTGCTTTACTACCCGGCTTCGCCCGGGACTTGGATTCTTGTCTTGATTAATAGACGTCCTATGTGGAGGGTTGGGGGGGGTGCGTGACGTCAGCAGGCACACATCGTGACGCTACCGCATGCGGTGACATCACAGATGGGACGTCACCACTCACTTGCTGTGCAAAATATATCCATTATTGCGCCCCCCCCCCCCCCAAAATACAACAGTCTATTTTGATAATTTTTGCATTGTGTACAGTCTGTAAGCTACCCACATGCTAAATTTCAAGTGTGTTGCATTTTGGGAAGTATGCTAAACATTTCGAACAGACACATATTCACAAATTTCCCTTTTATATTTGTAGATATTTGAAACTGATTGGCCTACACCAGAGACAGTCTTCTTTAGGGCCAAGTCTTACCAGTGTCAGACCAGAGAACGCAAAAGGCGAACAGCACAAAGGCAATGCCACCATCAGGGCATTTATAGCTCGGGGTGAGCAGCCTCAACATGGCACCTTGATTCTGCAGAGATTTACAAAATGAGCCGAGTGACGGAGGAGTCAATCCCAGCCTCTGACAAATTCCAACTCCCCACGCGCCCGTACGGGCAGACCAACAATTCCACTGGTGACTCGGCAGTCAGTCGGCTGGCATCTACACAGCAACCTGCAACATCTCACACTTCCACATCGATTGATTGTTTATTGAAGGTGTCAACTCTATGAGCTGTACAAAGGGTAAAGGCGCAGCCCTGCAATGTGTCGTTCATCCCGCTGCTGGCAGAAGGGTCTCCACTCGCGGCAGCTCTAGACAACTCTATCTCAATGTTAGTTGACATTCGTTCGCACAGTATGTATCCAGCCGTGCTAATCGGAGGTGCGGGTATGACAGTCTCAAGGGTTTCATCTTCTTGGTTCTTTCGGTAAAGTCACGTAGAAGGGAAGTAATAAAATAATAAAAATAAAACATAATAAAATAATTCTCACGACGTTTCGGCTACAACGCAAGCAGACGCTGTCTCCCCGACAGACCTGGTCTTCACCTAAGGACGGCTGATTGCGTTGTGGCCAGTAACGTCGTGAGAATTATTTTATTATGTTTTATTTTTATTATTTTATTACTTCCCTTCTACGTGACTTTACCGAAAGAACCAAGAAGATGAATCCCTGCAGTCACGAAAGCTTTAAATCGAAGTCTCAAGGGTATTTAGCCCACCCTTCCACGCTGGGCCAAGACAGCGAGAGGTCTCGGGCATACGGAGTCTACTGGCACATGGCACAATTGCTTTGCAGCGTCCGCCCAGATTAGCACGACCCGATTCATGGGAGGAAATGTTCTTGTTAGGGTTATTTTTATTGTACGTATTATGACGTATTATGACTGCGTGACCACGATTGTCCTCATCGTCATACTTGTGGAGTCATCATCACCGGCATCAGCAGCAGCAGTATCATCATCCCATCGTGTTTTGTACTGTATGTTGTCGTAACGTTCTGAGCCGCCCCTACTGGACATCTGTGGAAAAAAAAGCTGTACAACTCATCGGATTCCTCCAGTATAAATACATATTCTGATCCTGATCATCGGCAGCGCGACGTTTAATTTAGAACGCGCCAAAGGCTGCAAAAAGCAATCCACCACCCGCGAAGGGGTCCGGGTGGATAGATGGGGGTCCGAGCGAACAACGAGAGCACGAGGCGCGGTGTGATGAATATTCATCGCTCCAGTGGTGAGCGGCGCGCGAAGCTGCCCGCTGAGCCCTCCCTGCCCGCTGAGCCCTCCCTGCCCGCTGAGCCCTCCCTGCCCACCGAGCCCTCCCTGCCCGCTGAGCCCTCCCTGCCCGCTGAGCCCTCCCTGCCCGCTGAGCCCTCCCTGCCCGCCGAGCCCTCCCTGCCCGCTGAGCCCTCCCTCCGCTGAGCCTCCTGCCCGCATGAGCCCTCCCTGCCCGCTGAGCCTCCCTGCCCGCTGAGCCCTCCTGCCCGCTGAGCCCCCCTGCCCGCTGAGCCCCTCCCTGCCCTCTGAGCCCTCCCTGCCCGCTGGCCCTCCCTTCCCGCTGAGCCCCCCCTGCCCGCTGAGCCCTCCCTGCCCGCTGGGCCCTCCCTGCCCGCTGAGCCCTCCCTGCCCGCTGATGCCCTCCCTGCCCGCTGAGCCCCCCTGCCCGCTGTGCCCTCCCTGCCCGCACGAGCCCTCCTGCCCGCCGGTGGACCTCTCCCTGCCCCGCTGAGCCCTCCCTGCCCGCTGAGCCCTCCCTGCCGCTGCCCTCCCTGCCCGCTGAGCCCTCCCTGCCCGCTGAGCCCTCCCTGCCCGCTGTGCCCTCCCTGCCCGCTGAGCCCCCCCTGCCCGCTGAGCCCTCCCTGCCCGCTGTGCCCTCCCTGCCCGCTGAGCCCTCCCTGCCCGCTGAGCCCTCCCTGCCCGCTGAGCCCCCCCTGCCCGCTGTGCCCTCCCTGCCCGCCGAGCCCTCCCTGCCCGCCGAGCCCTCCCTGCCCGCTGAGCCCTCCCTGCTCGCGGCACGCGTCACGGCATGGGGGGAGCGGGGCCCTGTGATGGTAGCGAAGCGAACGACGTCACTGGCAGCTCGGGAGGGTAACCTTCAAGTGAGTACCGATAAAGCCCCCCCCCCCCCCCCACGGAGTGTCAGAATCAGCAACGTTACCGCAGCGAGTTGTGGCTTTGCACGACGTTAGTTTTTTAAATCTGTGCTGATAAAGGTCAAAAGTCCCTCTCCTGCATAACCACATAATTATATTTACGCGATCTAACCCAAAACACCTTTCTTATGGACATGTACTGGACGTTACCTACCCACAAGCGACCCGCCAATCCGCTAACCGCGGTGAACCCATTCTTACTGCCCGGTGGCACCAATCGCTTCAACTGGCGCGCCTCGTACGTTCAGTGCGCTCA